AAGCATGAAAATACTTTTACTTGATAAAAATAAATTAAAATAAAAAATTCATTTTTTTTCTATTTGCGCCTTTTTTTCATTAAAGCCCACGTTTTAGTTGCTCTTAAAGTCAAGTACCTTAGAGCTTTTTTGCGCTTTTTGCTTTTGATATCACTACATATCTCTAGAAGCTAAGTTGCTTGGACTTTTCTCTTTTGATGCTGCACTCGTGTCATCACGACATGGGTGTGGATCTTTATCGAATTTGGTCCATTGATTTTTGGGTGCTTTGACCAAAATCAATGGAGAAATTTGGAACAGATACAATGAGATTTTTCGGTAATCAAAATAAAAGGGTTGAGGTGAAATTGAAGAAAATAATATATAGAAATTTCTATGTCAGTCATTTTTCTTATATTACTCCCTGTAGTCCATATTGAGTGAATTGTTGGGGTATGCACACCCTAAAGAAAAATATTTGTGGACATAAATTAAAGGCTACTTTCCTCTTATTACCTTTTTAGTTATTTCCAAACTAGTCATCAAGAAAATATAAAGTAGCTCAGAACCCCATTAAATGAAGGGTAAATATAATCTGATCAATGTTCTTGAACTTTGAATAATTCACTTAATTTGAGTTATGAAAAAAGTCTCAACAATTTACTTGATATGAACTAGAGGGACTACCACTTTCTGTAAGCTTTCCACATAATGTCTCATAATTTAGACATATAACTCTATTTTTAAATGTTTGAATTATTAGCCATATCTCCACTCCTTAATTGTACCTGGATCAGTACCCCAAATCTTAAAATTTTGATCATGAAGGATCCAACCTCTAGATCTGCACCCTTATCAGACACCCAGACCCAGACCCAGCAACTTAGTGTGGAAGTAGAAATTTATATCATACAAAGATGATGACCTTAGATTTGTTATCAAATCCGTATTATAACCTCAACCATGGTCATGATGTATTCTTTAACCTTCTCCAATGGAGTGATGATGATCTAGATTCTAGACAATGCAAAAGACTCACAAGTTCTGAAATAAGCTCATTTTATGACTTTAAGTGTTGAAGCTGTAATAAAAGAGCTTGTTGCTTCTGCTTCTACAAATTCATCATAGGCTCATTTTCCTCTTCCGTTTTCTGCATTATTGATGCTGAGAAAGTAAGGGCAAGTTCTCATGTTGACGTATGCACGAACCCGTTTTCAGGCCTGACAATAAGCGATAAACTAGCATAAAGGAAAAGGAGAAACTGTGATCAAGAATTGGAATTACTTTATGAAAAAAATACACGATCATTTTAGTGTTGCATTTCTCAGTAAAATGGTCTACAGTATCGTAATTTGGTACCACCAGTGGCATTAAGTAATCTCACTGTGTGTTCCAGAAGTAGGATGAGTTAATCAATCTGTCTCACCAAAATGAGGATGTACTGATAACTAGCTGGAGAATGTGAAGCACAGATATAAAACATCATTTTAGGGAAGGACATTTGTGATTTGAGTATTTATTGGCTAAAAAAAAAGATTTGAGTATTTATTGGTGCCACTTAATTTAGTTTATTACCTGCAAGCTGTGAGTAGAAGTTACTGTATGAATGGTTGACAGCATAGTTATTAAACTTTCTGCGATTGTGTTAAAGTTATACAGCATGTGCCCAATAGTTAACAAGTTGGTTGCCATATTGAGTATTTTAATACAACTTTTTGTTTTGTGCTCCATTTGCTTGTTGCCCCTCCCTGGCTCATGTTTGGTAAGATCAGAGTCTCAAAAATTGCAAGGTATTTACCTCTTTACCCTTTTTCTTTTGATAAGTACCTCTTCCCTTTTCCTTTCATAAGCAATAAGGTCCATGCTTGTTCTGAATGTTAAGAAATATATGTCACATTTTTGAAAGATGATGGTAAATCAAGACAGAGAAGTGTGCTGTCCTCCTGTGATGTCTGTTTGAGACAAAAACACTTGCATATTTATGGTGCTATTTCTAATTTTCTTTCAAGCCTTGTTTGGTTTCAAGAGTCCCTGTTTTTCATCCTTTGTTTCTCTTTTGGAAGGCGTCCGTGGATGTTTTCCCATATGCACAGGGAAAGCACGACATGTTCACCTATTTCATTTATTATTATATAGAATTTCAAGGGTTTATAGAAGAACAAAATAAAAGAAGAGAGGAAAAGAAGAATAATGGGGGAAAGAAGTCTGATGCTAGTTCTTACAAACACTTTTATCTTATTACTATTATTTTTGAATGCTTTTTGTATTCTTTTATTTGGATGGTTGAAAGTTTTAAGTGACTGCTTGGTATGAATTTTACTATCAGGGTAATTCCGTAGTCCCTCTAATTACGTAACCATTTTTGTCTCTGTCTTTTTCCCTAGAAGGAATTAGTTGTAGGGAATTGGGAAGTTCTTAAATGGAATTTAATTTCAGAAGAAAATATAAACTCTTATCACTTTTCTTTGGATCGGAAAATATAACGCGTATATATTATACACACACACATACATATGTATTGTGATTTTCTTTGATGATGTAAAGAGTATACATATATATTGTCTCTTCAAGTGAAGCTTAATGTTAAGTTGCTAATTTTGCTGGGATTTGAAGTTAGCACATTTTTGGGTGTGCAAATGACTACTCCAGTGAAATGATGCCAGTCATTCATTCGAACTCTGACACAAACAAAACCTGGTACTTAGGTGGGGAGGAGGATATAGAAGCAGCCTCATTACATAATTATAAACAGTTAACCTTCTCAAAAAAGAAGCAGCCTCATTATCGCCGAGTTTCGAACTGTGTGCCACAGATCGGCATTTCTCCTATATGTGTTTATATGAGTGTGTCGGTTCATGTCAATTCTCTTTTTCAACCCAATCACTGTGAAGTTTTTGTTTCTCACATTGCGAAGTGCTTTCTGCTACTTTTGAAAGAAGCAACAGGTCCTTGGATTCCTGCTGGTGAAGCACTTGGTGTTTTGGAATGTTGAGTTGTATTTTTTCAATTTCCTTTAATTATATTTCCAGTTGATTCCTAGTAAAAGTTTCTAATCCCGTTCAGAATGTTGTTTCTACAGGAGACCCAGTACGACAGAGGAAATTCTAACGATTGATATCAAACCAGGATGGAAGAAGGGGACTAAAATAACATTTCCAGAGAAAGGAAACGAGCAACGAGGCATAATTCCATCAGACCTTGTCTTCATAATTGATGAGAAGCCGCATAGTGTCTTCAAGAGAGATGGCAATGACCTCGTTGTCACCCAGAAAATCCCCTTGGTAGAGGCTCTTACTGGATACACTGCACAAATAACAACCCTTGATGGCCGGAATCTAACTGTACCAATTAATTCTATCATTAGTCCAAATTATGAAGAAGTTATCAAAGGAGAAGGTATGCCAATTCCTAAGGAACCTAGCAGAAAAGGCAACTTGAGAGTAAAGTTTAACATCAAGTTCCCCAGCAAGCTTACTTCTGAGCAGAAAGCTGGCATTAAGCGATACTTGACATGATGAGTGGACATTAGCTCCTATAGTTTTCCACCAAATGCTACATAAGCCTCACCCCGTCTCGTCTTCATCATGCAAAGAAATGTGCACTTTGTTTATTTGTTTATTTCTTCTGCAACATTTAAGTCTGTTATTTCAATATCACTTGCCTTCTAAACCGAGCATCCCGTGGAATCTCTATTTCCATTGTTCTGTGTGGTGATAGAGTACAGTTGGATCCAACGCTCTCCTCTTGTGTCAATACTAGATGTGGGTGTGCCCATGCATTGCACGGGCTTACGAGTGTAGGCCCTATTTCATGCTTCTCTTTTTCCTGCTATATTATCATTCTATTTACTACTAATTATAAGAAAACTGATTATTGAAGGATAAGCCAGTTGGTAACTGGAGTTATCTAAGCTTGACAGATTTTACTTCTTTGTTTTTGATATGAGAAACTATCTGGAAACCACATCTAAAGATTATATATAATTTGAAAATTGTCTCAATATTCCTTAGGTTTCACTAGTTGTGTGGTTCAAGATAATATTTTTATGGATTCTTTGATCTTGTAATATAAAGTCGAAAGATAACAGCTTTGAATGAAAAAAAGTTTGATGTTTCTCGTCTAGATTTAACAGCCAAACTGGAAATGTGTTGTTTCTTCCATTGACACAACAAACTTTTGAAGTTATATGCTAATGGGCTATGTTGCTTGGACTCTTCGGAAGTGCCATCAGGTGTATTCAGATCCTCTAAAAATAGTGCATTTTTGGTGGGCAAGATACGTGTGCCAACATTTTTGAAATATCGGACACGAGTGTGACAATATTTTTGGAGAGTCCAAACAATGTAACTTTTAGTACCTATTTTTGCCTCATTCTTATTTCACCTTCAAAGGGGTCTATGTCATGACATCAAAATAAAAAGATAATTGATCTTCTAAATAAGAAGGTTTATGGCATTGGAATGGAGTGATTACATATAATTTTAGAAGATTTAAATAAATATTTATTATCTTTTTTTCTTTTTTTTTTCCATCCGTACATAGATGCAAAGTACAAAGAAGTAAATACACAAAGAAATGAAGGAGTTTAGCATCGACAATATACAACAAATCAACAATATAAATTAATTTTGACTTAAAATTGTCAATTGACTTTTCAATAGCTTGTTGTTTGGATTAACCACATTGCAAATTATAATTTCAATATGGAACACACACATATATAGATCTTGTTTCAAAAATATTTTAAAAATCAATTTAAAGTGTATTACAAAAAATAATAATTTATAGCTAAGGTAAAGATAGAGTTTTTAGTATTGAGTAATCTTTATCTTTAGAAAAGCTATTTTCCCCCAATTTTGACACAACTTAAAAATACTTATTTTTTCACCAATAAATTAACCTAACACCTTTATTCTTTAACATAATAAATAATTTATTTCTGAAAAATAAATATTTTGACCAAACAAGCAAGGATTTTTTTGCTTAAATAAATCAAATTATAAGAATCAATCTAGTAATAAAAAATAGTCCTACTCCCACAATTATAAGCTATCTCATTTGCCTTTAATTTTTCGAAAAATTATAATATCAGTTCCCAGTAATTTTTCCTCCTTCTTTTGTTAGATCTCAGAATAAATTGTTGTTGAGGTACAAAAATGGCCTCAATTTCTTCAAGTCCTCGAAGTGTAGAAGAGATCTTCAAAGATTACAGTGCTCGTCGTGTTGGGATACTTCGTGCTTTAACTGATGGTACTTTATTTTCATGCATACTTTTTAATGTTATAAATTTTTCAATTTGGTTATTAATTGTTTTATGTTTTTTCAGATGTGGATGAATTCTATAATCTCTGTGATCCAGGTAATTTTTTGTTTAATTTACTTTCTGGGTTTTTGTAGATCGTGGATTCTTGCTTTTAGTTGCCGTCAAAAAAGTCCTCATTTTTAATTTTTTTTTATATTTTTAGCTTTGAAGGTGAAAAATTGATATGCTTAATCTGAATATTTGATGCTAAATCAATGAGCTTTTTTAGTCTACAAAGTGAATTTTTGAAAATTCGGCTAATTGAAACATTTTTTTTAATAAAAAATTGGCTTTTGCTTGATTGACCAGACATTATTGGTAACATTCTTCAAAGTTTCTTAGCAAAAATGGTTGTATTAAGGAAAATGTATTTTTTTCGAAACATTCTTAACAAGGAGAATTTGAACAAAGTGAAAATCTTAGTTTAAATGAAGTTTTAACTAGACCGGTTGTGACTTGTCTTGACATTTTCTGTTTTTATGCTTTTTTTGTGTTAAAATGTGTTACTTCTTGGGTGTAGAGAAGGAAAATTTGTGTCTTTATGGACATCCAAATGAAACTTGGGAAGTCAACCTTCCTGCGGAGGAAGTTCCACCTGAGCTGCCAGAGCCAGCACTTGGGATAAATTTTGCTAGGGATGGAATGAATCGTAGAGATTGGCTATCCCTGGTTGCTGTTCACAGTGATTGTTGGTTGCTTTCTGTGGCTTTCTATTTTGGAGCTCGTCTTAATCGAAACGAAAGGTACTCTTTTGTTTGTTATTAATTAAGATAAATCAACGTATATAGTATTGGATTTACTTTTAGAAAATGTGGGATCTCTCTCCACTGTTTTTCGTGTAGCTCATTGATATTTTCAAAACTCTAGATAGAGTCTATGCTGAGTATTTTTTTACTATGGCCATCTCTGTCCCTTCCTGTATGTAGTTCCGAACTTCCTGCTATGATTTTGATGTCTCATGGAAAAAGGGGATACCTTTTTCTTTGTTGTAAAGTTGTTAATTGGCTATATTTGAACATTCTAGATGTTGAGCAACACAATTTCAATGTCCTGAAAAGCCATTGTAAGTGTTAGAGTCATTAATTATCTTGAATTTGTTCTACTTTCCCATACAACAAAGTTGGTCTATCCACTACTCTAGAGAACTTACCCTTAATCCCTTGAGAACACGTTCTTATTGCACACTACCTTGGAGGCAAGCCTCCATTTCACCCACCCCGCTCCAATATGATGTGCAACATCATCATCAATCTCCCCGTTTCTTTGAATTATTGGCCCAAAAATACTTGAAACTTCCTCTCTTGGGTATGACTTGTGCATCTATCTTCACACTCCCTCCTCTGCTTCATGAATTGCGTTACTACATTTGCACTCCAGATACTCTGATTTAGTCCTGCTTAACCTAAAACCCTTTGACTCTAGGGCCTATTTCCAAATTTCCAGCCTATCATGAACTGCACCACACGTCTCGTCAATCAATACTATGGCATTTGTGAATAACATACACCACGACTCCTCTCCATGAATATGTCGTGTCAATTCGTCCATCTCTAAGGCAAATAGGAGCGGGATAAGGGTTGCCCTGTGGTGAAACCCCGTCATGATCAGGAAGTGTTGTCAGTCACCTCTCACTATTCTAACTCGTATCTTGGCACCATTATACATGCCCTTAATTGCCCTAATATAAGTCACAGGTACACCTTTAAACTCCAAACATCTCTAAAAGACCTCCCTAGGGACTATATCATTTATCTTTTCCATGTCAATGAGCATGTGTAAGTCTCTCTTTCTGTCCCTATATTGCTCCAACAATCTCTGTACAAGATAAATGACTTCTATAGTTGATCACCCCGGCATGAATCGGTGTGGGTTCTTGGAGATAGACTCACCCCTCCTCCAATGGCGTACGCAAGATTTTTTGCAAGCGGTGTCACCTTTTAAGTATATATATATATATAACACAATTCACGTATACTATTATATCTTTTCCAAAAAGTAATTAAAACAAATTTAAAACTTTTCTGGATATATTTTTGTTTTGAAAATTATCTCATTAAATATAATAGTGCTACATTTTTATTTTTTTATAAAATATAAAAAAAATAAAAAATAAAAAGCAAAGGAAGAACATAAAAAAGAAAAAAAGAAGAAAAGCTACATATTTATTTTTATATAAAATATCAAAAAATTAAAAAATAGAAGGCAAAGGAAGAACAGAAATAAAGAAAAAAGAAAAAAGAAGAAAGAAGAAAGAAGAAAAGCAAAGTTAGTTACCTATTTCAAAAAAAAAAGAAAGAAGAAAAGCAAAGTTGTGCAGATTCGAACTCACGGCCCACATAGCAATTGACGCACGTAACCAACTGAGCTGCGTGCCACTTTATGTCAAACTAAACACTGTATAGTATATATCTTTTCTCTTTTCTGTCTTATATATATATATATAGCATATTTTCAGACAAAGCCGTGTCCCATGACACCCCTTGGGCAGTGGCAGAGCCACCTTAACCCCCTTCGGTGGAATATTATTTATACATGGTTAAAATATTTTTTTAGGTATATATAGTAGATGTTGAACCCCCTTCGGCTACTTCATGTGTCTATTTTTTCAGATTTTGAACCCCCTTATTGAAAATTCTAGCTCCGCCACTGCCCTTGGGTCTTCCTAGATTCACCCCTGCCTTCCTCATCCTTGACCACCCTCTCTCAGACTTTCATATTATGACTTAGTAGCTTGATACCCATGTAGTTGTTGCAATTTTGAATATCACCCTTATTCTTGTACAATGGAACCATTGTACTCCAATTCTATTCTTTTGGCCTCTTAACCGTCTTAAATGTGACAGTAAATAACCAGTCAACCACTCCAAACTTGTTTTGCTGGTATTATTCCAAAAATCCACTGGGATCACGTCTGGCCTAATCGCTTTTCCTCTCCTCATCTTACAAATAGCCCCCTCAACCTCCGTAGCCATATCCACCTACATTACTAGAATCCCTAGGATTGAAATACCTTTTTTTCATCTCTATCTAATGTTGGCCTCTTCTCTTAACACTTTGCCATTATCATCCTTCATGCACTTCATTTGGTCCAAGCTACGATTCTTCCTATTCTCACCTTTGCGAGCCTATACATCTTTCTATTCCCACGTTTGCTCTCAAGCTCGTCATACAAGTGCTCAAAAGATGTTGTTTTAGCCATTGTGATGGCTAGTTTCACTTCCTTCTTCGCCGTCTTATACCTCTCCCTATTCTTCCTTGTCTAAGCTTTCCACTAACATCGTATAAGCAACCTTCTCGGCTTTCTTGTTTCCTTGCACCTCTCCATTCCACCAACAATCCCTTTATGCCCGCCTTAGCTACCCCTTAAGACCCCTAATATCTAGTCTAATTGCTTCCCTGAGCTATCCTGGTCGGCATACTATTTGCATCCCCGCTACTCCCCCAAGCCCCTATAGCCACCAACTTTTCTCTGATCTCCTAGGCTTTCGCCTTTGTCAGGCCTCCCTATTTAATCCTTGGTTGGGTATATGTAGCCCCTTTCTTCTTCTTCCACTTGATATCTAAATCCATTACCACAAGCTTATGTTGGGTTGTAAGATTCTCGCTCTGGATAGCCTTGTAGTCCTTGGATAAACCTCTATCACACTTCCTAAGGAGCAAGTAATTTATCTCAGTCTTGACTACTGAACTACGATATGTCACCAACTCAAAAGCTTTTGCGAAATCTAAAAGTAAAACTCCTCCTTCATTTCTGTCCCCAAAGCCAAGACCGCCATGCACATTGTCATATCCTCTTAAAGTGATCCCTATGTGACCTTTAAAATCTCCTCCTAACAATAGTTTCAGTCTACGGGATACCTCTCACAACCTCGTCCAACTCCTCCCAGAAGTGCATTTTAACCTCCTTGTTCAACCGCCTGGGGAACTTATGCACTAATAATGTTGAAATTTATCCTTCCCAAAGCTATCTTAATAACCATCATCCTATTAGTCACCCTCCTAACCTTTACCACTTGTTCCCCGAGTTTCCTATCTACTAAGATGCCTATGCTATTCCTAATCCTCAAGCTTCCTAAGTACCACAACTTAAGTCCGTCTACATCCCTATCCTTGGTTCCTGCCCATTTGATTTCCTGGACAACCTACAATGATCTTCCTTTCCTTAAGAATCTTCACCAACTCTTATCGTCTTCCTGTTGATGTCCCTATGTTCCAAGATCCAACTCTCAACCTAGAAGCACCCTTTGGTACCCTTACCCACCCCTACCCCTCACACCCATCCTCAATCAAGGACATGACCTTAAACTTCCATCAAACCCCGACTACACTAACACAGGTTATAACAATACTCAAGTGAAATAATCAAGGGTTCCCCTAAATTGACACTACAACAATCGAAGGAGTCTAGAAAAAGGAAAAACAGTGCAACTAACTGGCAGGAAACAAGAATGAAAAATAATCAGGAGTTCACCAAAATTGACACCAAAACAACCACAGAGTTTAGAATTAAAGGAAAAACAGTGCAACTAACAAGCAAAAAACAAAAATATACATCAATTAAGCAATCTAATTAAAACACAGACTGTACAAATTAATTCAATACACCTAATTTAAAAAAGGCTAACTGAGCAAATTAATTCAATCAATTTTTTAGAATAAACAAGCAAGGTTTCTCAGTGATACCAGATGCAAGAAAAAGTATCATAAGCAATACGCAAATAACAAAAAGATGCAGACAAAATGCGATGCTAGGGAGGTGATTAATCCAAAACTATTTTTCTAATATATATGGCCAGAGGAAGTTCTAATCAATGTATGTAATCTCAGTATAATCCCATGTGCTCCCCGATAGTAACTGTTTGTTATAGTCCCGAACCGCTCCTGGCCCACAGTATCCCCACCTTGATTGTCTTTTCATCCTGCTCCGGTCCTCATTTTGGAATCAGCTCTGATGGTGCTAATATAACTGTCGTCATTGGCGAATCTGAGAAGAAGACTGTATTTGCTGACAGAAGAATTTCCGATTAACAACAATTTGAACAAGTAATGGCTGCAGCCAAAAAAAATCAGTAAAATTAACGGAAAAAATCACATTAATATTGCAAAATCTCGAACTATTCGTTGCTCATGTTTGCTTCTTCTGTTTTTGGCTATGGAGAAAATAGGCTTTTCTTCTTCTGAGAAATGAGGATTTCCTGTTGGATAGCTATGCATTTTGTTTCTTGAAACAGGTAACTTGTGTGTGTGTATCTATGTAAATGAACAAAACAATGTATATGTTGTACTGAAGCCATATTTTACAAAACATGTCTCTAAGAAACTGAAGCTATTCTGACCATCTAAATGGAATCTAGCATATTGAGAATTTCTACAGTTTCTCCTGGGTAGAAGAACTGTACACCAAAAAACAAAAGAGCAAAATACAGTTCAATTTGATCTTTTGCACAAAATTCCTCAAATCTTCAAACATTTGGAATTTCTCTCTTTCTAGATTGTCCACCAACTGTTAGCTGGGACAGTTATCCATCTTTCACTATCCTTTGCCTAAACTCCTGCTTCCTCCCAACTAAGTAATACAGCAGATATCTTGCCTGGCATTATCCAAGTGATGCCTCTAAGATTAATGAAGATTCTCCACAGTTGTTCTGTTAGCTTGCAATGAAGAAAAAGATGTTGTCTCTGCTCTTTCACCACATAAATAACATCTGGCATAGAGAGAGATACCTCTTTTCTTCAAATTTTCCCAGGTAAGACCAGCCTCTTTTGTTAAAAACCAAACAAAGCAAGCCACTTAATGTGGTATCTTTGTCTTCCAGATGTGCTTCCGAGGCCAATTCTCAACCTGTTAATTGGTTTGATTCAATACTTTATAAGCTGAACTCACCTTGTATGAACCACTACTATGCCCATTCCACCAGAATCTATAGCCCCCTCCTGTAAGCCACCAATATTTTCCGAAGTACTGTAAAATTCAGTCGCCCTATTTAATTCCCAGTCATTGAGCATCACTCTGAAGATAAATCCCAGCCTTGTTTTGTCCACATTTCTGTCAGGTTGAAAATATCAGGAGTATTGATCGCTATGTATTGTTAAGACTGTCATTAGGTGGTGACAGTGCTTGGTTCAAGCAAATAAATGGTTGCTCTGTGCTATCAGGTTGAAATTCTACAGGTTGCACTTCATTCAATCTTGAAATGTGACAAATTCTGTTAGTCCAAAAGATGAGTTCTTCTTGAGTCTGTATGGTTGAAGATTATTTCTGATGGGGCAGAGGGGATGCATTCTGGTGATTGTATATTTATGTCATGCTTGTCGAGTATTGAGGTTGTAACATTTTTCTTGATTACATGTAACTCCATGTCTGTGTACCCCATCCTTTTAGAGTCAGTTACACGAGTTCTGAAGTCCATCTTTGTAACTCTCCATCTATTAAGTACACAAACACGCTTCTTTATGTGTTTTTTTCTTAATCTTCTGCGAGTCCATAGATCATTCACCAACTTAACTTAGCTTTCTTATATATGTCTTCAAGTATTGGGTTTCATTGAGAAACTATTTCTGCTGTGTGTGTGTGGTGTGGTGTATTGCCAGTTTTGAATTTTGTTTGCCAAGACATCCATCTTACTCTTCAATCGCTTGCCCCGGGATTTCTGGAGGGTTGATCATTCTATTTAAAGTTGTATCTTGCTTCTTTGGATGTTGGGACATCTGAAGTGAAGGAACCTCTACAGTTATGCAACTTAAACATGCAAAGAACTTCGGAATAGTCTATTCATTTATCTAGCCACCACATTACCTTTATTTACATGTCGGATATACGTTATGTTTTCTGGTTTGATATTTCTTCTGGTTCCACTTTCTTTAGGGGACAGTTGCTGGTGCTAATAACTAGCCTTAAGACACTTTTCTCTTCCTAATGATAGATTGCATCTCTAGTAGTGATGAATGTGCATTTGTGGATTAAAAAAAGGGGGCAGCCAGGTGCATGAAGTATCTGGTGTTCACGCAAGGTCCGGGGAGGGGTCGCACCCCAAGGAGGCGTGATAGAGAGAGAGAGAGAGAGAGAATGTTAAGGATGGTAGCACATGTTTGCCAAGGCGCTCTTTTTCCTAGAGATCTCATAGTTTATACTTCTCATAGTATTTGTGTGGTTCTTCTTTTCTCGGGCATTGCATTAGATTCAAAATTCAGTGGCAGCATCTTTTTTAGATATAACCATTTGGTATCCAGAACACACTAGCCGCACTAATCCATATTCTCACCACGTAGGGCCCAGACGCCCAGTTAAGGAGGTAGCGCTCCCTACTAGTGGCAGTGTTTATTACTTCTTATTCACCTCTTTCACCACTCCACCATCTTCATTTGTGGTGGATGTGTGGAGGCTTGCAAGAGGTGAAAGGAATCACAATTTAGTGTCACTCTACTTGCTAATTGCTATTTCCAGACAACTTTCTGATTTGGTTCTTTATAACTTTCGCCTGGGAAGTCTCTACTTTGTGGTGTAACTTTTCTGCGAGGAAGTTCTTGTTAGTCTGAGTTTCCATACTTTTTGTACAGGAAGCGTCTATTCAGCTTGATCAATGAGGTGCCGACTGTCTTTGAAGTTGTGACCGAAAGAAAACCTATAAAAGATAAGCCCAGTGCAGATAGTGGGAGCAAATCACGTGGTAGTAGCATAAAGGTAGGGAAACATCAAAGCTATTATGTTATCATCCCTTTAATTTGTTGTTCCTTAGTATTCAGTAACACCATGATACTTTTATTTAGTTTCTCCTCAGTATGTCATGATCTACTATTTATGTGCTTGCTCACTCTCTCCTTCATTACTAAAGTCAAAATTTCCCCATTTTATGCAGAGATCTAGTGATGGTCAGGTGAAAAGCACCCCAAAGCTGGAAGATGAAAGTTACCAGGAGGATGAAGAAGAACACGGTGAAACACTCTGTGGAAGCTGTGGTGGGAATTACAGTGCTGATGAATTTTGGATTGGCTGCGACATCTGTGAGAAGTGGTACCACGGCAAGTGTGTGAAGATAACACCTGCTAAAGCTGAGAGTATAAAGCAATACAAATGCCCGTCTTGTACCTTGAAGCGGAGCAGACAGTAGTCCTCTCATGAATCAGAGAAAGAGCCATAATTCTATTTCTGGCCATTAACAGAAGAGTACAGCAAATATTACACCTGTAATGGACATGCTATTGTAATCTTTCTTTACCTATATATGCTCAAAAAGAAGTTGAAGTTTCTCTTATTTCCTTCATCCATCTTCAGAATTTAACACAATCTCAATACATATTTAGAAAGTCTGTTAATTTACTCTACTTCCTTTATCATGTTAAATTATTCACAGTTATTTGTCAATGAAATACATAGTTATGTTGATTATATGCCTATACAGGTACAACTTCCAAAAAAAGACCTGATAACTTCCATATCTGGTTTGTTACTATTTTATTATATGCTGTGCTATTTGGATTTAGCCAACAGTATGAACCAAAAACTGAAAAGCTGGCTTGTAGAAATGCCTTATTTTGTCTTGTACACTCAAATTCCAATTGAGAAGTGCCAATCTTGTTAGCTTGTTGTTGCTTATGAGTTTAGTTCTCTTCACCAAATGATTATAAAAATCAACATCATTTGGAATTTGGAATGTCTTTTTCACATAGCTTGGTTTGTTCCGACAATTTATCGGTATTATACCTACCCTGTTTCCATAGGATCCATCAACTTGTTAACATTATCTTCACAACAGCTTTACTTATTTAAGTGTTGTTTCTTTCTTTGTCTATAAGCTTTGGCAGAGTTCTCTCTGCAATGCCTGGGAAATTCAGAGAGCAGCCAAGTTCCAGTATGGCTTCGAATCGTTCCGATTGTTCATCGAAGGAGAGACTGAAATGGACTCAAGAGCTTCATGATCTGTTTGAGAAGGCAGTTAGTCAGCTCGGAGGTCCGGAAAGTAAGTGATCCTTGTTGAAGTGTGTGACCGTTTTATCTTAGAAGGTTTAACAGTTAAAGAGTGTTCAACTTCAATTTCTTTGTTTAATTACGGTTTGGACATTGCCCCTCACGTGTAGGCCTGATTGTTTTCTTTTTGATAATGAGTGACGATGAGATTCACTTTTGTTTGGCTAAATATGTCTTTGACATGCACACCTAATTCCTTTTCTTGAGCCAAGCATGTCGGTTTTTTTATGACAAGCCTGATTCTCTTTCATATTTTCATGAGTTAAACACGTGAAAATTCTTTTTATTTTCAACAATTCGTCAGTTGAATTTGAAAAGCTTTCTACCATATAATTATCCTCTCACCTATTTTTTTTTTTCATTTTCTTAAAATAAAAAAACTAAATATTGGCTTGCAGGAGCAACACCAAAAGGAATTTTGAAGGTTATGGGGATTCCTGGTCTAACAATCTTCCATGTGAAAAGCCACCTACAGGTTTTCTTATTATTATATCCTTTGTGTTTGTGATGATTTCTTTCATTTGTGTAAATAATTTATTCATAATTTAATAAAATGTATTTTCTATAATTCAGAATTCATAACATTAGGATTCTAGATCTGCCTCTATTAGCTGAGTAGCTTCATAAGCCTGGATACAGATTCACGTGAATTTAGTAACTTTTGCTCATAGTTTAAGAAATTTATCAAATATCTATAAATATTTAACTGTAAACTCAATTAATATTGTAGTATTAACTTGAGATCCTTGAAAAAACTCATAGTGAGGATTTAAAAGAATTATTAAATATAGCGAGGATTTTCTTAAATTTGTTCTGTATATTTAAGATATAGAGCAAATAGTTATATAACTTATACAGACCAAATTTTGGATACTATTGTTACATTTGATAATTATCAAAACTATAGCTAATTTCGATATTATTTATTCAATCCTTATTTTCTCTTTCGATTTGCAACAGAAATACCGTATGTCAAAATTTGTACGTGAAGACCCTGAAAGTAAGTTTTTTTTTTCTTTTTTTTTATACAAGTTAATTATGTAAATAAAATAACATTTACTAAAGTTCTATATTAAATTCTTTTGTCTTGCTTTTCATTTTTTAACATATAGTTGGCAAGTTTGAAAGGAGAAGCATATCAGAAATTTTGCCAAACTTCAGTGTTACAGCGTGAGTTACTGTTCCATTCCTTATTAATACAGACACGGATTCTGAATTTAAAGTTTATGAATTTTCATAATGATATCAAATTAAATATTTAATAATAACTGAGTTCACAATCAAATATTTATACTTATATAATGAAACTTTATAACATACATAGGGTTGATACTAAGTTCACTCCTAAAAAAGGGTCATATGTTTTTTATTTTTTTATTTTTCGGATTATAATTAAAAATCCGCAAATAATTTACAATACCTATAAATATTAGGTGAAGATTCTTTAATACTATAGTTTATAGAAGTTAAACTCTATATCGATTTATATAGGGGCGCTCAACTTAATGAAGCATTACAAATGCATATGGATGCACACAAACGATTAAGTGATCATCTTGAGGTAAACTAATTAAGCTTATAATTTAATTAATCTTTTTTCATCCATGTTTTGCAAATTATTAATTAAGATTAATCTTTTTTCTTAAAGGTTCAAAGAAACTTGAAGATAAAACTTGAAGCACAAGGAAGATTTCTAGAGCGAATAATGGAAGAACAAAAAGTTTGTGCTTCAGGTTCTAGACCTAGCTGCAAGTCTTATTCGTATTCACCCTTGTCGTTACCATCCCTATGCGAGGAATCTGAATCAAATGTTAAGGAACTCGAGGTTGAATATGATTCCGAGTTTGATATATCTGATTGTCAATTACCACGAAAAAGGATTCGATTCGAGGAAGACGATGGATTATTAAATCATCGATACAATAGTACTAATAATGTTACATATTCACCACAAGAATTAGAATGGACTACTCTTGCAAATCATCAGTCATCACCATATGATTTGCATGCTTTATATGATTATCTTATTTAATCAACTTAGTTGAATATATATTGTTGAATTTAAAGAGTACGATTGGACATGTGAAGAAAAAGTGTGTTAGTTAGGGAAAATATATATAAATATATGAGTGTATTTAAATAAAACAACATATTGTATAATACGCTTATGTAATCTTGATAATTAAGCACAATTTACATATGGGGTTGTTCTTAATTAGTCGATCATCAAGATGTACAATGTCTTGCGGTATTAATTTCTTTGACATTATGACCTTACATAACGATGTTGTTATTAAATTATAATTTTATGGATTGAATTTTATTTGACTATTTGTGGTTTTATTATGTGTGCTCGGGGTAGAAGTTTTTATAAATGTATCGCTATGCTATTAAGTATATATTTTGATTAAAATTATTTCTTTCTAAGAGGTGGAATAGAATAACCATGTTGAAGCATTATCATATTATGCGTCTCTGACTTTGTATAATGCATTGTATATCTCATACTCCCTCCGTCCACTTTTATTTGTCATGGTTTTCTATTTTAGAATCAAATGATAAGAACTTTGACTATTATTTTACGATATATTTTTTATCATATTGATATGCAAAAAAATTGCGATTTATAATATTTTTCGTAAAGTTTTTGAATATCTAAATTTTTTGTCTAAAATATCGAATCTAATTTCACTTTGAAAATTAGGCAAATTGACTTTCGAAAAGTGCATCATGACAATTAAAAGTGGACGGAGAGAGTAATATGTCTCAATCTTCTACTCTTTCCCGAAGTAGATGATTATTCATGGCTATTACCTTGACACCAAAGAAAAGTTCGTCCTAGTACTTTATTTCTATCCTAGTTGATCCTGATTCAATATTAGAAGTATAAAATAATTTTTGATAAATGTTTTTTTTTTAAAAAAATTAAGAGAACCAACTCTGCCCTTTGGTTTGTTTTTGAAATCCTATAACAAACTGATGGGCAGAGTCGATTTTCTAGGTTTTTGCATTTGGTATTTTTTCATAAAATCGACGGACTAATCGACCAAGTCTGTCAGTTTTCGAAAAAAATAAAATAAATTCAAATGCAGAAACTTGAATTTTTTTTGTATCCCACCTTCCAAAATAAAACAATTAAATGTGTTGATTTTAAATTAATCCTAACTGAATTACAACTTACTCTAGTCATCAATTTAAAACATCAAATTCAAAGTAAAGACTCATCAAAGGATCTACACAATATATCAAAGTTCAAAAACTTCAAATATATACAAAATTTCGAAGTATTTTCAATGTTCAACAACAATAATCCTAATACCTAAGGGCATCTCTAACCCAAACACCAAATTTGGTGTCAGCACTATTTTTAGTGTAATCAACTCCAATCCACTGCACCAAATTTTACACAAAAAATGAATATTTTTCTCTCTTTAATATTATATTATTATTTCTTATTTCATTTATATTTTCTTATTTCATAACAAATTCTTTCTAAAACATTCACCATATATAATTCATATTATTTCCTTTTATAATCGTTTAATATAAAATTATTTTGTACCATAATTTTTTAAATAATATATCCAATTATAATTTATAGTAGCATTAACATAAATTTAATTTTAAAAAAAGTCATATATAGAAAAATTAATTTATAAAAAAGCTAAATTTTATATCTAAAATTAATATTATAAAAATATTACATAAAAAATAATTAAATATACAAGAGATTTAATTAAAACATACAATTTATATAAATGTTTAATTAAAAGTTTATATAATGAAATAATATTAAAATATTCAAAAAGTGAATTGATGTGATGAATAGTGTTACACCAAATTTGATGTTGATTGGAGCTCAAAACACCTAAATTTACACCAAATTTACACTCACTTCATCATCATTAGAACTCTCTCCATCAATTGAGGTTGAAGGAGAATGGAGCACACCATGCACACCACTTTCAATTAGGTTATTCACTTGTGCCTTAAGTGTCGCGATGATATAACACATGCTCTTATTTTCAACAATCGTCTTGCCTTGGCATCTGCCAAGGCATGCACGCATAAGTCGTTCGATTTGCTAGAACATTTTCGGAGTGGCAAATTCGATGATGACACCTGTCAATTTGATGAATCACCAAATAGTTCGACGTATTGCTGAAATACATCACCAAAGTGACCTAAAAACCTCCAGAAACTATTAATTTTGGCGATCTAAAGCCCTATTTTGGCGACCTGCTGAATATTTTGGCGATTGGACCTCCAGATCGCTGATGTGATCGATGAGATCCATTAAAAGGTCATGTTCTTTGATTTTTCAGGTCTTCTTACGTTTCAAAAGGGATATTCTTGACATTTTACCCTTGATTAACTTTTCTAAGTCCTAATAACTTATCCATTCACGCCCAACACTTAAACAATAAAATTCAATATGTTCAAAGTTGTCTCAAACAAGAAACTGGGGTTCTTCACCTTGAAGCTTCAGTTAAGGAATTATGTCAAGTGTGTTCATTTCAGGTATGTAGGATTTCATCAATAAGTATTCTTCACCCATTGAGTCTAAAAATGAACTCAATTCTCCAGTATTTCACTATGAAAATCGAGGGTATCACAAAAAACATGAATATCTTTTTTATTTAAGTCTCTTCTCATATATAAACAGGGGAGGACCCACGTGGGCTCCAGGGGTTCACCCGAACCCCCTCGGTAAAAAATTACACCGTATATATAAGGTAAATTTTCTGTATTTCTGTAGATATATATATTTTGAACCCCCTCAATAATAAGGAGAAACTGATAGCGTAGTGGCAAGTCCCCCTGAAATTAAGCTTCATGTCACCGCTTATTTACACGTTTATACTTTTATTTTTTGAACCCCTGAACGAAAATTCTGGGTCCGTCACTATATATAAATAGTCTCTAAATACATGTTTTTCATATGGTGTAGTATTTTTACTTAAGTATATTTTCATGAACCCTCAAAATATCGATATTTTATGTTTCGTTGTTTTAAATTGCATGTTTCCTTTACATAAATTATCATGATTAGCTTTATACTCAGTTTATTAATTTCTGCATATTTTAGGATGCTTTGAGATAAAGTGTCCATCACTCAGTCTCAGATATCAAACTCATTGAACTTCATTAATATCAGTTTTGCAGACCATTAAAGTGATTTCCGCTGAAGCATACTCTTAATAGTATTTTTTATATAATATATAATATTAGACTATTACTATTTTTTTTATGCATTTTACTCCAACCATATCATGTCTCCCATACACTTACAAGTCTCACGTTTCAAAAATGCATGGCTTATATATGTGTACTCATCTCATAGATCAGGAGCTTCGAATCATAATAGTAAGATATATGACATGCATAACATCTAGATATGTCATCGATACTTTTGAACATTTTTTCCAAAAGTAAGTTTTTGATTAGTATGGTACACGAAATGACATCAATGACCGTGTATCAGTTTTCTTATAAAAGCAAAGTTCACTAGTAGTATGGAATTCAGGTATGACATTCATGATTTATAAACAACATTTTCAAGAGCTATCAATTATGTTCAGTTGGGAGTAGTACTTAGCAACGAGTTGGACTAGGGTCAGTCTACCCAAGTCCTAGAACTACAAGTCATCATAGGTCTATATAGCCCTTTTAGGCGCATGCTTTCAGTTTAGTGGTACCACGTCAAATCAGATCAACCTTTATACTTTGACAACGTATATTAATATCTTTTTATGGGGATTATACATCAAACTCCATGTTTAGCTCACATGGTTATATGTTGATTAATAGTATCTCCCACAGTTCAGTTTCAATTATTGCATTGACCTTGTACTCAATTAAATCAGTTTAGTACTTATCAATTGCACATTTTACTACTTGTTCATTATATTCAGATTATATATTTCAGTTTTGTATTTAGTTCAAAATTTCAGATTGGGCATGTTGAACATAATTGTATAGTGCATGTCTCACATACTCAGTACATTCAAAGTATTGACATACCTTCTTGCACTATATTATTTTATAATATAGATTCTGACGCACAACATCCAATTGCAGTTGATACGACTTCCATTCAGCCCAACAACAGTGTTGGTGAATCCAAGTTGAAGAGTCTAATCAAACACTTAGTTTGCCGAATCATTGAATATTATTACACTAGTCAGAAAGTGCAATTACATGATGTGTATAAAACGAACTACACCATATAAAGCCACAGTCCAAAATCGTACCTGTTACAGTCGTTCATTCCAACATTTTTGGAGAAAACCTTCAAAGAATCTTCACATGAACTTTAATGGAATTACAGAAAGAAGAAGCAGAATAAGCACAAGAAGTGTGTTCTTTTTGGAATTGTAGGAATGAAAAGTTCTTTTATCTCTCCTCTGAGAACCCTTTTTATAATTATGAAAGGACACAACTATTCTAATAGTTGTGTTCTTCCCTTATATTTATTGATATATAATACATAATTATATTTATCCATTTCTCTTGATCACATGGATCCGGGTTGACCCACATGGGTGACCCAATCCAATTTCCTTCTTCTCCCACTCACACATAGTAGGTCAACTCTCATTCCTATTATGTAACTTTCATACATTACGACTAGACCGCGTGTCCAGTGAATACTACGAGAGCTTCATTACTATACATCTGTTAGGAATATATAACATCTCGATCAATGAAACTTAAAGTAGATTATACTATGTAATACCCTAGATCATTTATGACATTCATATTTCTCATAATCTGTTTTCTTAATTTTTGAGTTCATCATTATGTACTTGTCTCATATAGACAAACATAAAAGACGTCAATGAACACAATTGATGTGATAATATCTAATGGTCTTCCTCATCTCATGAATCTCTTAATCTCAGAGTAATATTTTTTTTTCTAGAAATATCCAGCCAAACCGAATCAAACATGATATCTTGGCAACATACTAAGATAGAAAACACCAAATTGATCTCAAGAAATTGATTAAAGTCATGAGGGTACAATGTGAAAATTATTTATAATTTTTAGGGTTTCACACGATAGCAAGTAGAGACTAAACTTGTATCGCCCTATGTGTCGCTATATGCATGAAACATTTGGTAGGATGTATCGACATATTTCAAAATTAAATTGAGGAGTGCAATTACAAATTTTTAGTAGGATAATTTATAAT